TACCCTCTGAGCTAAAACAAAGCTGCCTCCCAGCCAATGCTGTAGAGGTCTCTTGCTTTTAACTGTTGCTGTGGTCTAGCTACCACTTGCATTGCTCAGTAAGCACACTAGCTGTTAACTAAGTAGTTAACTAACTAGTGGGTTACACTAGCTGTGTCTCATACTGCTTCATTACCCTCGCAACACAAAGCCATGGCTTGATCACATCTAGTTTTTCAGTAACATTTACAACTTTTCTTTCTCTGGTTAAGGATCATCCTAAACTTCTCCTAGGATTTGTTTTCTACTTAAGAAAATAAGAACGGCTGTACTGGGTCAGACCAAAGGTCCATCCAGCCCAGTATCCTGTCTGCCAACAGTGGCCAGCACCAGGTGCCCTAGAGAGGGTGGACTGAAGACAATGATCAAGCAATTTGTCTCCAGCCATCCCTCTCCAGTCTCTGACAAACAGAGGACAGGGACACCAAGGTTCAGAAGGGGAGTCGAGTGAGTCTGTAACAATCAACAAATAGTCTTGCAGCACCTTAAAAACTAACAAACTATGTAGATGGGATCATGAACTTTTGTGGGCAAAACGCACTTCTTCAGAAGACTGAAATTAGGTCGGCTTAAGTAAAGCCTGTTTCTCCAGTTACCCTCAACAGCCAGTCCATTTGTAAATTGCGTTCCCCCTCACTTCTTTGGTCTTACTATGTATGTGGCACAAAATTCCATGGGCCAATGAGAGATTAGGCCATCTCTTGTCTTTTCTCCATGTTATATGATCTGGCTTCCCACGTAACAGAAGAATGTTCCCTTGTTGGTGTGTGGTGAGACACAGGGACTATAAAAGCTGGATTTTGTTTTCATTATTGATCGATTCACGGGTTTGAAGGTGAACAGGAGCCTTTAAATCATCCAGTTGGACCCCCTGCAGAACACCCACCATTGATTTTTGGCAGATACCCCAGTAATGAGCTCTATGACCAGACATGGTACTTTATCCGAGGCCTACCCAGTGTGACCCAGAGCTCTCCTGTCCCCGCCTGTGACCTTCCTACCAGGCTCCTGTGAAGTCAACCCCACTGGAAACAGACCTTGCTTGCTGACAGATCAGCAAATGGGGCTGAGTCTGTTTTACACTTGCTTATGGTGGTTGTGTAGTGTTCGTGTTAAAACTAATAAAAGAAATTTCTTCTTCATTTAAAACTAATAAAAGAAAAAGAAAGTTCTTCTTCACATAGCGTGTAGTCAATGTGTGGAAGTCCTTGCCATAGGAGGCTGTGAAGGCTAGGACTATAAGAACATGAGAACATAAGAACGGCCGTACTGGGTCAGACCAAAGGTCCATCTAGCCCAGTATCCTGTCTTCCGACAGTGGCCAGCACCAGGTACCCCAGAGAGGGTTGACCGAAGACAATGATCAAGTGATTTGTCTCCTGCCATCCCTCTCCAGCCTCTGACAAACAGAGGCCAAGGACACCATTTTATCCCCTGGCTAATAGCCTTTTATGGACCTAACCTCCATGAATTTATCCAGCTTCTCTGTAAACTCTATTATAGTCCTAGCCTTCACAGCCTCCTCTGGCAACGCTGTGTGAAGAAGAACTTTCTTTTATTCATTTTAAACCTGCTACCCGTTAATTTCATTGGGTGACCGCTAGTTCTTCTATTTAGGGAACTAATAAATAACTTTTCTTTATTGGCCCTCTCCACACCACTCATGATTTTCTATAGCTCTATCATATCACCCCTCAGTTTCCTTTTTTCTAAACTGAAAAGTCCTAGTCACTTTAACCTCTCCTCATATGGGACCCGTTCCAAACCCCTAATCATTTTAGTTGCCCTTTTCTGAACCCTTTCCAAGGCCAAAATATCTTTTTTGAGGTGAGGAGACCACATCTGTACATAGTATTCAAGATGTGGACTACCATAGTTTTATACAGGGGCAGTAAGATATTCTGGGTCTTATTTTCTATCCCTTTCTTAATAATTCCTAGCATCCTATTTGCCTTTTTGACCACCGCTGCACACTGTGTGGAAGTTTTCAGAGAACTGTCCATGATAACTCCAAGATCTCTTTCCTGATTTGTCACAGCCAGATTAGCCCCCATCATACTGTACGTATAGTTGGGCTTATTTTTCCCGATGTGCATTACTTTACACTTATCCACATTAAATTTCATTTGCCAAATTTCATTTGCCAATCACTCAGTTTGGTGGGATCTTTTTGGAGTCCCTCACAGTCTGCTTCTGTCTTGACTATCCTAAACAGTTTGGTATAGTTCCTAGCCCGCTTGGTGTGACACATGGCTCTGGCCAACGGTTTTTCCCAGTTGTCTTTAACGTCCCTTATCATAACATCCCGTTTCTATTGCTTTCTATCAATATTTCCCTTTCCTCTGTTACGTGTTGCTTTCCTACTCCCCAACCTCTACCATTTGGTGCCTTCCATTTCCCACTGACCTGCATTTTAAGCCAAATTTATTCACTTTGCTTCACTGAGGAATTGTGAATTGGAGCCGTCTCAGGAATTCCCGAGAAGAAATCCCAGTGTACATTCCCATTCTTCTCTCTCAATCAGGGGTGGGGGACCTAAGGCCCAGACGCCAGATGTGGTCCCCAGCTTGGCTGGATATTTCATTTGCCAATCACTCAGTTTGGTGGGATCTTTTTGGAGTCCCTCACAGTCTGCTTCTGTCTTGACTATCCTAAACAGTTTGGTATAGTTCCTAGCCCGCTTGGTGTGACACATGGCTCTGGCCAACGGTTTTTCCCAGTTGTCTTTAACGTCCCTTATCATAACATCCCGTTTCTATTGCTTTCTATCAATATTTCCCTTTCCTCTGTTACGTGTTGCTTTCCTACTCCCCAACCTCTACCATTTGGTGCCTTCCATTTCCCACTGACCTGCATTTTAAGCCAAATTTATTCACTTTGCTTCACTGAGGAATTGTGAATTGGAGCCGTCTCAGGAATTCCCGAGAAGAAATCCCAGTGTACATTCCCATTCTTCTCTCTCAATCAGGGGTGGGGGACCTAAGGCCCAGACGCCAGATGTGGTCCCCAGCTTGGCTGGATCTGGCCCCCGGGGCTCATGGCTTCTCCCCACAGCCTTGGTGAACCCGCACTGTCTCTCCAGCCTTCACTGCCTCCACCCTGAATGATTTTTCTCTTGGCCAGCAACCCCCGACCGAAAGAAGGTTCCTCACCCCCGGTCTAAAGGTTTCCTCTCGATCTCTCTTACTCACCCATTGGTGCAGCGTTGGGAAGGCAGCATTTCTAGAGCACCGTCTACTGCACAGGGGGCCACTCCAACGATTTGGGAAGTGGCCAAGGGCTGCACTCTTCCATGGTATGAATGGAGGAAGTGTGGGGGTCTGGATGGGAGGTGGGTGCAGAAGAGAGCTTGAGGTAAGGGATGGAGTTTGATTGCAGGAGGCATTTGTAACCTGGGGCACTGGACTGAGGTGCAGGGGGTTGGCTTGTGAGCTAGGACAGGGAATTGGGGAACAGGAGGGGATGCAGGGATTTGGGTTGTGAGTTAGGGCAGGAGGAACCAATAATCTGGGACAGGGGTTGGGGATCCAGATCTGGGAGGGGATGTGGGTCCAGGAGTGCGGGACAGAGCATTTGCGTATGTGGAGTAGGGGGCAGTAGTGGGGGCCAGAGGGCTGGAGAAGGGAGGGGCTGGGGTGCCAGAGGCAGGGTCTGTCCTGGAGACTTATCAGCCAGCAGCCTGTTCTGGAATCATCCTCCCTGCCTGCCCCTCCCCCTCACTGGCTGCAGCCCTGTGCTCTGGAGCCCCTTGTGCTTCTTGGCTGCCTGTTATTGAAACAGGAGCTCCCATTGGACAGTTTGTGGCCAGGAACCGGCCAACAGGAATGTGCTGGGGGTGGGAGCAGCCCCAAAGGTTTCCCATACCCCCTCCGGACTCACCATTTTGAAAGAAAACCCGCCCTGCAGCCATGGATTTGCTCAGTTATCTGGCTGGATCCGGACCATTGGCCATATTTTGCTCAGGCCAGGTCCACAGATATTGCATGGGGGAGGGGGAGCATTTCTCTCTTTGTCCATTTGAATGGTGTAAGTTACGTTATTGTTGTTTCCTCTATCATGTCCATGTCCATTATATCTTCCTTAAACTCAACAGTGCCAGTGTTTTCAGGCTGATCCTCTTTGGCAACCACGCCAACTCTCATAGCCCGTCTCAGACACCCCTTTCTATCTGCTACACCCCCTACAGAGAGACTAGATCACCAAACCCGCGTATGCCCAGAGCGTCTTATTCTCCATCCCATTCACTAGTCATCCAAGGGGTCCTTTGGCTTTGACTACTGCAGCGATAGAGCAGGTGAGTCCATTGAGCTGCTGTCAATGACGTCAGCCCTTCCCTTTGAGGTGGGCTCTAGCTGGGATGTTTCCCTTGGACATGACTTGGTAAAGTTGTTTTGATTATTTTCCACTCTCTAGTGCTGAGCATGTGAGTTATTGGGGGACTCTCCACAGCACGGGCTCCGCAGTCTGGGTTTATTGCATTGAGGAACCACGAATGAAAGCCACTAGCCAAATCTTTGCTACTTGATGGTGCTTCCAAGGGAGCTGGAGTTACTGACACATGGAGCTCCAAAAAATATAGTCTGGGCCTTAGTAAATTTGGCTGGTCCTGATTCCTTTGTTTGAATAACAAGAACGTCAGTTTCAGTGAGTGAGGAGCGACCAACCTGCTTCCCCAAAGAGGACATTTGCCCGTAGTGCATGGAGTGTCTAATATTGACATTGTGTCTCCATCCAGGTACTTGTATTGCAACCATCACCTGGGACACTGGGCACATACCGGAAGTGAGGGGAATAAAAGGTACTTGTAGGAGACTCCATTCTGCTTCAGTGTTGGAAGTCAGCTCCTGGATTACATGTCAGATTCTAACACAACCGACGTCACCAACCCCTCCATCTTCATCCTGCTGGGCGTCGCTGGCCTGGAGGCAGCCCATGGCTGGATCTCCATCCCCTTCTGTCTCATGTACATTGTCGCCATTTTGGGGAACATTGCCATCCTGTTCATCGTGAAGAGTGAGCCAAGACTCCATGAGCCCATGTACTATTTCCTCTGCATGCTGGCTGTCTCCGACCTGGTCCTATCCACGTCCATTGTGCCCAAAACACTGAGCATCTTCTGGTTCAATTCTAGAGAGATCGATTTTGGTTCTTGCTTCACCCAGATGTACCTTGTTCACTGCTTTTTAGTGATAGAGTCTGGGATGTTCACAGCCATGGCTTTTGATCGCTACGTGGCCATCTGTGATCCCCTGAGACATTCCACAATCCTGACAAATTCCATTGTAGCTAAGATCGGCTTGTCTGTGGTGCTGCGCGGCTTCATGATGATACTTCCCATTCCCATCATGGGGAGTCGGTGGCCATACTGCAAAACCAACATCGTCCCCCACACGTACTGCAAGCACTTTTCTGTGGTGTCCCTGGCCTGTGCCGACTTCCGCCCTAGTAGTTACTACAGCCTCTGTGTGACATACCTTGTACCCAGTGTGGATGGGTTTTTAATAGCCGTGTCCTACATCCAGATCCTCAGGGCCATCTTCCGACTGCCCACAAAGGACGCTCGGCTCAAAGCATTTGGAACCTGCGGGTCTCATCTCTGCGCCCTCTCAACCTTGTACATCCCAGATCTCTCTGTCTCCCTGATGCAGAGGATTGCTTCTAATGTGCCCCTGCCTGTGCTCATCCTCATGGCCAATGTGCAACTACTGATGCTTCCCACACTACACCCCATCATCTATGGGTTGATGACAAAGCAAATCCGGGACAGACTGTTGTGGATAGTTACTCAGAAAAGGGCTGGCCAGAGCCATTACCAGGCTATCATATCAGTCTTAACAACAACAAAAGATAAGAAGCAGCAGGCTGCCAGCAAATGTCAGGAACCGGCTTTAAAAAATGCAGCTCCTGCCCTGAGGCAATGCCGTGAGAAACGGGGGGATCAGTCTCGTTACAAGTCATAGAGTTGCCTCCTTTCATATTGCTTGAAATTGTACCACAGCCTTTGGTAAAGCGTTTCCACAGGCTGACTGTGAAGAAATATGTCATGCTGTACTTTTGAAATCCTCTGCCTATTGATTAGGTGACCCCCAGTTGTGTGATAGGAAGGAATAAATAATAATTCTTTGTTTCATTTTTACACAACCTCCAGGACTTCATAGACCACCACATATCCTCCTAGTTATCTCTTTTCCAAGTGGAAATGACACAATCTTTTAATCTCGTCTTCTGTAGTTTCTGTTCCATACCGCTAATTCTTTTCATTTCACTTTTCACTAACATTTCCAATTCTACCATGCATATTCTTTGAGATGGGGCTACGACATCACCATACATTGGTCCATACTGTGACACACTAAGGAAAGCTGGCTCCAATAATTTGGTGGAGGTAAAATGTGCCGGGAGCTGAGTGAATGGCTTTCTATTTCCACAACTTAGCCTTTTTTATATCCACCAAGTCATCTCTTTTTCAGTCTCAATAGACCCAGTCTTTTTACTGTCTCCTTCTATAGAATCATAGAGCATGGAAGAGACCTGAGGAGGTCATCAAGTGCAGCCCCCTGCCCAAGGCAGGACCAATCCCAGGTAAATCAACCCAGTCAGGGCGTTGTCAAGCCAAGACTTTAAAAACTCTATTTACGGAGATTCCACCACCTCTCCAGGGAACCGATTCCAGTACTTCCCCACCCTCCTTAGGAAATAGTTTGTCCTAATATCCAGCCTAGACCTCCCCCACCGTAACTTGAAACCATTGCTCCTTGTTCTGCCATCTGTCACCACTGAGAATAGCCTCTGTCCTTCCACTTTGGAACCTCCCTTCAGGAAGCTGAAGGCTGCTATGAAGTCTCCCCTCAATCTTCTCTTCTGTAGACTAAATTATCTCTGTATAAATCTATATTGTGCCCACATATTGCACGCAGACGGGGTCACCACATCTTAAAAAAAAGTAGAGATGACAAGGGACAGAAAAGAGAAACCAAAAATATGAGGGGACTGTAACAGATGGCTTCAGATGAGATATTATTAAACCTTGGACTTTTCAGCTTAGGAAAGTGAAGACTACTGGGAGTATGAAAGATATCTAGGAAATAATAATGGGTAGGGATCACTGAACTGCGGTGAGCCCCGCTCACCAGCCACGCTGTCCGGCGATGTGCTCACGAGCAGATCGTTCTGTACGTGCGCAGATCGTCCGAACCCGGCTCTTCCGGGTTACAATCTACTCGCCTGTGGATGTCAAAGGGGGCCGGACTCAATGCCTCCTGAAGTCTCTGTCCACCCTGTGATTCTATGGTTCTATATGCTTTGGAATTAAATATGTGTAATTGTATTTTTTGTTGGTTATCTGTTAATTTTGACACCTCACTCTCCACACCTTTTTCCAGGCTATTCATGAAGATGTTGAATTTTACTTGTCTAATAACAGACCCCATGGTGGACAACAGTATTAACCCTGCTCCATTATCACCATTCACAGGACAGGGAGTGGCCTTGTTCATGGTTCTTCACTCTGCACACAAGGGGACTTCTGGAATCATAGAATCATGAACCAAACTGGGGGAAGTCTGGAACACAGCCTCAAAAGCAAACAAAGAAACAAACAAACAAAGTGCACCTTGTCCCATAGGTAGCGGCTGCCTGATCTTTTAAAATTGATCAAATGTATTTTGCTCTATGTAAACCAGTGATTTGGATGTTGCATATTCCCCACCACATTGAGGGAGGGAACACATTTTACACTGAACAAGGTCTCTGTGCAGAACAAGATGATAACAATTTGGGTTTTTACTCCATAGGAGCATTCCCAATCAGGGGGTGATCAGAGATCCTGTGTGTAACCACAATTGGGAGTATCCCTTAACTGACTGTTGTGCCGGTAGCGGTGTATGCTGGAGCGCTTGGCAGCTTATCACAGCAGTACAGTGTGAGAGAGAGCAGTCAGAAAACCACAGAGCACAGGAGGCACATTTGGTTGCAAAGACTGTCTTGTGAGCATCTCCCAACCCTCCCCGGCCACTCACAGTTCTCCAGCATCTAAAGAGCTCTCCAGGTATGATGTCGCAGCCTTACTCAACCTCCTGTGGCTGGAAACCCACCTGGCAGGTGTGTGTGGGTCTCCCACACTGAACAACACCCAGGGCCTCTGTTTATAAGTGAAGACCCATGCGCCAGGCACCAAGAACCTCAGACTAGTTTCAGATCAGCTCCTGAGCACTTGTCAGTTGCTTTAGCGCCCCTTTTCCAGAACTGCCCCCTGGGGCCATGTCACGTTACTGAATTTAAGGGAAGCAGCCAGATCACTGCTGCACCCATAGGTGGGGGTGTTGGCCCCAAAAATGGTATAAAAGGGGGCCATGTGGGGCGTTGAATAGAAACTTACTGTCTGCTAATCCTGTGTACGCTAGTCATGTGATTGTATAATGTCTGTGTGTGTAGTTAGGAATCTGTAATCTGTGTGGATACTGAATATTTCTCTGCATGTGGTTGAGCATTGGGCATAGTCTGGCCTATGGACATGCTAATTAGCGAGGCCCTGTGGGACAATGGCTCTCAATGGGCCAAGGACACACCTAAAGCATGAGTGGTGACTCATACCTAAGGGCTACCAGCAGGGAACACAGGGATAGGCCATGGGCCAGGTGACCTGCTGTAGCCAAGAAGAGAGCAGGAAGGAAGGATAAATAGGCCATGTGGTCGACTCCATCTCGGTACTCAGCTCAGCACTTCATCTCAGAGGTAGCAATGCAGGGATCAAAGAGCTGGAATTAGATCCAGATTTATGTTGGAATGAGTACAGGCAGTCCCCGGGTTACGTACAAGATAGGGACTGTAGGTTTGTTCTTAAGTTGAATTTGTATGTAAGTCGGAACTGGTACATATTGTAGGGGAAACTCTAGCCAAACATTTCTCCAGAGCTCAGTTTTATTCTCCCACACCTCACTTCCCTCAGTCCTTTATTCTCAAGCTGAGGTGTCTGCTGAAAAAAGCCGCTCCGCGTCTCCCTGGTCTGCTGGGGGGAAGCAGCTAGTGCGGGGTTGCCTCACCCCGTTTGTAAGTAGGGATC